GATGGAGCTGTCCGGCCTGCCCCTTTTTCTCCTTCTTGTTCTTCACCTGCGTCCATCCAGGCTTAGAACGTGGATCTGAAGTAGCCACCATCTGCGGGGCTGCCTTGCTGGTCAGATCCTGTTGCTTCAGCTTCTTCAAAGCCTGAGCTTCTGCCGCAGGTGAGCATTTCGAGCGCTTTCTCCGCACTGCCTTCCGGACATCTCGGCCAGACTGCATGGTATTCGGATCCTCCAAATCCGAGTCCTTTGCCGTCGTTTCAGAGTCCGTCCGTAAACGCAACGTGGGTGGTGCTGGTGGAGTTTGCACGGGTTTGGTGAAGGAGGGTCGTGCTTTGATGCGTCCCTCCTCCAAACTTTTGAGGCGTTTGAATGCACTGCCGATAGTTGCCACTTTGCACTTGATCTCCTTGTGGACATTTATCCTGGGCTGGACATACTCATGAAGTTCTGCGATGAGTTTTTCAAGTCGTGCCCATGCATTGCAGCATTCCGTCTCTTGTTTAGTCTGCGACTCGTCTCTCCTTGTAGCATCCGAGGCCAAGGAGTCCACCTTTAATGAATGTGATGATTGGCTCCTCCCATAATCCATGGAGCCGGCATCAGAACTGATGGCGGGATTCTCCTTGTTAAGGCTACCCGCATGGGAACTTTCAATTTTGTCATCACTCATCATTTTTACACTAGCTGTTTTCGAGAGCCTGACCCGGGGGTATTCTAGGGAGCCCACCCTGCACACCTCTTTTGGAGTTAGGTTTCTCGGATGGTGTTGGTTCGTGCCAACGTATTTTATTTAGTCGATACCCTATATTCTGAACGGCAGTTCNGTTCAGAATATCAAGCATTCCCCCATCCACCACCTGGGGACGCGCCACGTTGCAGGACCTTCCAACCTACGAAAACTCTCGGAGGGTAAAGGCGTTCCTCGCCGAAAGGATCCGTGGTGTGTGTATGTGTGTGTGTGTGTGTGACCAATATTTTGGTCAACGATTTCTTTGAAACGAATGATTCGATTGAAATTTTTTCCACGCAATCGATGTGTTCTCATGTCACTTAGAACTTATAACATTTTGAACAACATCTTCTCAGCAGTTCTTCAGATTTTCCGATAAAATTAGTGAAAAACGTCGAAAAATCGCGTTTTTTCACAAATTTCATTATTCCTCTTAGAACAACGATGGGATTGACTTTCTGCCGTCATTGTCGATGCAGCTCGGTATGACTAAGGCTTGAGTCAAATTCCAGTGAAATCGCGTCAACGGTTTTGGAGTTATAGGAAAATTAATTATTGGATTCGAATTTTTTGGAGAGTTTTTTTTATAGTGGTTTCATTTTCATCTTTTTTCATTATTTCACAAAATAATGTCGAGGACAATTTAAGAAAAATATTTCAAGAAATTGTCAGAATTGTGATATCCACTTGATAGTCGATAAGATAGATGTCCTTATTTAGCAGTGCTCGGACGGGGGCCCAATAGACCTTTTCATTCTGACAGTCACTAGATTTGTGGACACTTTACCGAATTTATATATAAATCATAATTTTTGAACGCTCAAGTGTATATAATTGTGAAGTTCGATATTTATCAGAAATTTCCATGGTTTTTTTCGGAGACGTTCCCGTTGGATGAACGAAATAATATTTTCCTTAGATTTCCAGAATAAAAAGGTCCATTAGTGACCACTCATATACAGTCGAGAACTTAAGTTCGTGAACACATTGGAATAGGAAGTTGATGGGAAATGGAAATGCATTGTCGTATCTTGTCAAATTGACTTTGTGCTTGGTTTGATCAGACCGGAATGATGGAATCGGAATAAATGGTGGGAAAACTGGCGGAGGAAAAAACTTCGGGGAGGTAGTATAGTGAGTGTCATGGGGAAATATGCAAGAAGGGGGGATAATGAATAGAAGGAGAAGAAAGAGCGAAAAACGAAGTGACAGTTCTCCATGTGTTTATTATAACCTCTTCCTAGTGAAAATAAATAAAGGAGCTTTTTAATTCATATGTGGGAGAATAATTATTTAATCCAGCGCGCCACAGGATTAAACAAATATTCAAGTAAGTAATTAAAGTTTTCCAATAAAAAAAAATTCTAATAATCAATTTTATAATTCGATAACATCCTTCGAAGAAGGAAGATTCGAGGCCTTTTCCTCTCGTGTAAAAATTATTCGGTTAATAGTTTTTTTTTGCATCTGAAATCCGCAGGGAGAATGCAGCCCTGGCCTCTGAACAAACAAGTTCCCTGCTCCACATAAAAAAGAATTACAAGTGTTATCTACTAGTGTGTCTTGGAATGCCTGAAG